AAAAATTGCAACGAATACTCAACATAGGCTGTTGAAACATGTTAGTGGTCTTCTTTGGCACATTAAAAATGAAAAAAAAGAAGTTTGAATGATTGATGGTCTTCTCAAAATATGTCAAGGAATATGCTACCCGTGGACTATTTTCCTTCCAACCAATGTCACCGGCCTCTTTTGCAATTCACTTAAGTACCATGGACTTGCTATATAATTACGAGCCTAACCACAGTTTTTATTTTTTTTTAAATTGACCCTTCAAATCTAATGCCTCCTATTTAAATCTAAATTTTGGGGATAATTAATCGAGAATTTGACCTCTATCAATTATTTTTTTTTAAAATTATTTTCTCACAATTCCTCATGTTCCCAAAAAAAAAGAAAAGGGTTCCATATTTTTTTCAATACTTTATTTTAACACAGATTTTTTTAAAATTAATATCTTAATATTTGATGTGAATACAACATATCTTAATATTTGATGTGAACACAACCTTCAGCCAAAAAAATATATAGTTTACCCTGAAGAAGTATATAAAGTTCAAAAAGAAATGTTTTCTATACAAATAAATTAAAATGCCTTTTTAAGTCTAAACTTCATAACTTTTAAAAAATAAAAATAAAAACACAATTTAAGTTATGAAAATATTAAAATCAACGGAAAAAATTTAATGTGGTAAGATTTAATTTCATAATATAAAAAGTAAATATATCAATTTTATTTTTAAAAAATTATTTCACATCTTAAATTATAAATAATAATAATTACTAATTATTACATATTTTTTATTAATTGCTAATTTTATTTAAACAGTTAATCCAAACATTACTAACTGGCTTCAAAACATAGTGCCATTGTCGTAATTAATCCAGAAATGGGTTGTCAGTTTGCTAACCCACAAAACAAATGAAAATGGAATCACGCGAGGGTTTTTTTATTTATTTTTACCCAATAAAAGCGGAATGGTCAGCCTTCTTACAACGCAGCTGGTAGCGAGAGATCGGCAACGGAGGAGCCAAAGTGCCAAACCACCCCGAGCTTCATTTCTCTCGCTTCCATTTTCGGTCAGCCATGGCTCTCTCTGAATCCTCTAAGCAATCTCTAATCCCCACCTTCCTTTACTCCTCTGCCAACTCCCTCTCCCTCGATCGCGTCCTCAACACCAACCCTACTTTCGCTCCTTCACCCTCCGCCGCCGCTGCTGCTCTCGATGGACGCGCTGCTGCTTCACCGTCAATCAATACAAGGAGCTTCGTCATCCCTTCGCCTAACGAGCCTGGGAAGAAGATCGAGATGTACTCGCCTGCATTCTACGCGGCCTGTACTTTTGGAGGAATCCTCAGCTGCGGGCTGACTCACATGGCCGTCACTCCTCTTGACCTCGTCAAGTGCAATATGCAGGTGTAGATCTGGTTTCGTTCTTTTGCTTATTTTTCGTTTTCTTTGTGTTTTTTCTGAGTTGATTCGGTGTTTTTCGTGTTCATTATTTTCGAGATTAGATCTGCAGTTGGCTTGTATGTGATTTGGCTCGAATCGCTTCTTTTCTCGAAATTCGTTACTGTTTTTAATCTGTGTTCCTTTCTATTGGTTGGATTAGCAGATCTCGGCTTGGCTGTTTAGTATATTCGCTTAAATTCTATAATTCAATGATTTTATATCGCCATTGTTAGAGCTTAAGTTCTGTCAGCTGGCGGTTTTAGTAGTAATTGTTCCTGCAGTTTGATCTCGATGAGCATATGGTTGTGATGGCGTCTGTTGTTGTGTGAGTGTTTCATTTCTTGGAATCCGTCACTGTCTGGCTGTCAATTTCTTGGTCTCTATGGTAGTGATAGTTTTTTTATCTACTGCTCTTGAGGATCGATGTGTATGCAGCTCTACTCTTGTTTCATGGTTATTGGTTTCAATTTTTGTAATAAATAATATCACTGTTTTATTGGCTTTAAATGTCTTTTTTCTTTTGATTGGGTAATGTTATTTTCGTGTTTTTTCGCTTGTGCTCAAATGGTTGTGCATTGATGTTAAATTGGTTCTAGTTATTTTTATTTTTCTAATTTTTAAGCTGCTGTCTATATTTTCTCTTTATTTTCAAGCTCCATAACTTTTCTATTTTCTCCTCTGGTCTTGACGGCTTCATGGTCATTTAGTTCATGAAATTAGATCAGTAATCGGCTAGAAAAGTTTATTGGTTTTCCATGGCTTTGTGTTTTTCTTCACAAATGTTTCTCACCTTGTTTACTCTTATTCAAGCTTAATTGTTTTTGCTTCTAATGTTTCTTTTTAAAAACTTTTGTATTTGGCTGTCATTCTACACTGCACTTATCTGAGCTGACATTAGGTTACCCGATCAGACTTCTTTTACCGTGGCCTTTGATCTGGTATTTGTAGTTTGTGAGTAATATAGATTCTTTGCATTCATCTGCATAGTACTTTTCAATTTTCCTTATGCATGTACTATGATCTGTCTAATCATAGGATTTCCTTTTACTGTATGGAAGATAGCTTGATTTATAACAGAATTTTCTTTTTTGTTGGTTTTTTATGCCTCATTTGATTGTTAATTGACTCAGGCTGTACTCATGTTTGGGCTGATCTGAAACTAATTGCAATGTCTTCTTTTCTCAGATTGATCCTGCAAAGTACAAAAGCATCTCATCTGGTTTTGGTGTTCTTCTGAGGGAGCAAGGAGTCAGAGGCTTCTTCCGTGGCTGGGTTCCCACACTCCTTGGTTACAGTGCACAGGGTGCTTGCAAGTTTGGATTCTATGAGTTTTTCAAGAAGTATTATTCTGACATTGCTGGACCTGAATTTGCTGCCAAGTACAAGACCCTGATCTACCTTGCTGGGTCTGCCTCTGCTGAGGTGATTGCTGACATTGCACTTTGCCCCTTTGAGGCAGTTAAGGTCCGGGTTCAAACTCAGCCTGGTTTTGCTAGGGGTATGGCAGATGGCTTCCCCAAGTTTGTGAAATCTGAAGGCACACTTGGGTATGCTTTTTGGATATTGCTCAATTTCATGTCCGAGTTATGCAATGAATTGTATATGAGATTAAGCTCGCTAACCATTTTTCTTTTGCAGTTTGTACAAGGGTATTGCTCCACTTTGGGGCCGTCAGATACCATGTAAGTTTAGCATATTTTTAATCTGGTTATGTTGGAGGTGCTAAATCTGTTGATCTTTAGCTAGTCTGTTTGCCCAATTTGTATACGTTTACTTGTTTGTTAGTTTTCAATTTCTTTAGATGTATCATTTTTCAAGATTTGTTTCTTACAATGTACCATATTGCACTTCTTTAGAATAACTTTAAGTGAGCTTTGAGGGTTGCATGTGGCTTCCATGCTCCAAGGTTAATTCTCGGTTGTGGGTGTGTCATAATATGTTATTTCAGGCTGTCCCTTGAGTTCATTAGTCCTATCTCCTTTCCTTCCTGGTTGTTAGGTCTAACATTTTGTCAGAATTAGTTCTTCATTTATTGCTTACCTTCTCTTATTGAAGGAAGGGTCAATCAAGGATATTGCGAGTTTGAGTTATTTCTTTCATGTGATAAATGGATATCAGGAATTGATAACTAACAGAACCAAAAGTTTAAATTGAGACAATTGAAAATCAAATTTGTTTAGGTGAAAATGGTCATTTTTTAAATTTGGTTAGAATAATCTTATTTTAAATTCTGGTTCCTTTCTTGTAGATACAATGATGAAGTTTGCTTCATTTGAGACAATTGTTGAGATGATATACAAGTATGGTATCCCCACTCCCAAGGACCAATGCAGCAAAACTCTTCAACTTGGTGTCAGTTTTGCTGGTGGTTATGTTGCTGGTGTCTTCTGCGCTATTGTTTCTCACCCTGCTGACAACCTTGTCTCTTTCCTCAACAATGCCAAGGGAGCAACAGTTGGTGATGTATGTTCTATACACCTTGGGGGTTTTCTTTTGGCTTTGTTTAATTATTTCTTGCACATTGTTGGTGTGTTTACTTTGCCTTGACCACTGTTTTGGATTGCGCAGGCTGTGAAGAAACTTGGGTGGTGGGGTCTGTTTACCCGTGGGCTTCCTCTCCGTATTGTCATGATTGGAACACTAACTGGGGCTCAGTGGGGCATATATGATGCATTCAAAGTCTTTGTTGGACTGTGAGTTCTTCCCATGATTTTGAAGCTTCATTATATTTCCTTTAAAAAAGAGCAGCTTCATTATGAGTTGATTCAGTTCTGCTATTATTAAGTTTTACTAACTGAGTCTGATATGATCTTTTCAGGCCAACAACTGGTGGTGTTTCTCCTGCTGCTCCTGCTGCTGCACCTGCAAAGGCATAGAACGCTTGGAACATTCAAATTAATGTTTTGCTTTTCAGTAGTCCTTGAAAACTAATAGGTGATCAAATAAGAATAGGATTGCCAAAAATTGCTTGACTGGTTTCAAAGCCAGTTGAAGTTAATTCTTTTCCGTTCAATGCCCATTTTGACTGCTCCTGATTTTGTGGGGGATGGTTTTGTTTGCATCCTCTATCTGTAGACATTTTTGCTAGCGAGATCATATATGAATTTTTACTTGAAATTCTAAATCAAATGTTGCCTTGTAGGAAGGCGGGAATTTTTTGTTGGTATGATGTGCTGAGATTGCAAATATTATTTCTCTCTTCTCCCTTTTTATTGCTTTTTAGTGCTGAAGTTCGCAATCATGAAATTTGACCCTGAGCTATAAGTCTTAGACTGCTCTTCTCCAGATATAGTCCACTAAAGTGCAAGGCCAAAAGGCCCAAAACTCTCAGGTACTGTGGTTCTTGTCCTAACTCCTTCGTAACATTTGTGCACTCGAACTGACTGTATTGCCTTCAGATGGTTTAACTTAAGCAGCAAAATCACGAAGGTCTATCTCTTTCATTCTAACCTGAACTCCTTCACTCTCTTCTCGTTTCAGTGGTCAAATTTAAAATTCTCTTCACTTCTCCACTTATTTTCTCAATTGCTTCAAGGGTAAAATTTAATCGCACGAGTGGCATGTGGGCAACTTTTACAAGAAACTTTTAATTAGAAAGGTAGTGAGAATTTTGTATTTTTAAACGGAAGGTAGTTTGAAAAGTTATAAATGACCATATAAAAAGTTAGTAATTTTGATAATATTGCACTGTTAGAACAAAAATGTCATTGGCCTACAAAACACTAATCATTAAATTAAGAACGATTTCATCTAATAGATACTATTTTACAATTCACATAACAAAATATTAAATTCGTCGGAATTAACTTTTTTATATTTACTTAGTAAAAAGCTAATGTTGAAAACATATGAAGAAAGTTGCCAAGTGGTCCAATAAAAAAAAAAAAAGTCAGGGAACCTTTTCCTCTCATATAATTGGAAAGAAATTTTCCCATATTAAAAATTATGTGAAGAGAAAAATGAATTGAAAACGCCAACTTTAATCATTTGCAAGTTACCATCCCCCCCTATGCGCGGCTTAATTAATAATGCTAGTCAATATAATTATGGTCATAAAGGTACACCCTCCATCATAGGATAATAAACATTCTTTTATTTAGAATTCATTTTAAAATAGTAATTTTTTTTTATATTTTAAGAGAGACAAATATTTATTTTTATTTTAGGTTTATTATTTATCTTATTTTAATTATCAATCTTATAAAAAAAATTGTTTTACTTTTCTTTTTTTAAGTGTTAAATTAGTAAAAAAATAAAAACTATCTACAAATCTTTGATATGAAGATAAATTTTTTTTTGAAAAAATATTATTCTATGATAGATGGAGTAGTATAATAGCAATGATAATAAAGGTAGTGATATAATCAACGACCTGTTGGTTCGAGTAGAAAAAATTCAATTCCCCTTAAATAAGATTTCGAGTTTGAGTCATGTGAATGAAAAAATAGGTGTTGAGAGAGTTTTTCCCCATATGGGGTCCTACCAGGCTCGACTTTAGATTAGTTATGGTTCAATGTGATTTCTGGATATCGAGAGGTTAGTACCAAAAAAATTAAATAAATAAATAAAGGTAGTGATATAAGAATAACTTTTTGTATCATATTTTTATACAACTTTCATTTGTCATTAAATAAATTGATACATTTAATATTATAGATTTCAAATAAATAAAAAGAGCCAATCATTTAAATAATACATAAGATTATACAAAAAAATAATACAAAAAATTATCTCTAAATTATTTTCCATAATAATAACTATGGTCCTCTTGCATTAACCATTCATGAGTTTAAATTTTCAATTTCTTTTTTGTTATAAATTAGAAGTTAGTTCCTTTGTAATGCAATAGGTTAATCGACTCCAAATTCAGGGTTCCAATTAGTTGATACTAACTTCACCAAGCTTTTATTAGTCTAGTTTCTAAATTCTTGAAAGGAAAGGGGAGAAGAAAAGATAAGTTTAGGGCTTCTGGATAAGAAATGGTGAGGGGAAATTAGAAAAGACTTGACCCGTTGTCCTTATATGATTGGACCCGTTGTCCTTATATGATTGGGCTCAATGTTGAATTTGGTATTTTTTAGGCATTTGAAATGGAAAATTAAAAAAGAGAAGGCCCATGGTTTATTTTTTATTGAGTCCTAAAGATGTTGAGTAAATCTCTTCTCGTGACTTTGTGGCCGTGTCCCCTTCAAATTAAAGAATGTTCACTCCAAAATTTCTCAAACAGGCGTAGAGTTTTCTCTTATGGATTATGGAATATAACATGATTTGATTTTAAATTAATTGAAATTAATATAATTTTTAAATTAATTAAAATTAATATAACTTTTAAATATTAAGAGTTAATAAAAAAACTCTTAAATGTTATTAGCCAAAAAAGAAAAAAAAAAAAAGGATTCTGTAAAACGTTACTCATTGTTTAAGAGAAGTCAAGCAATCAGACACCACCAAACATAGACGGAGTATAGCAGGCGCTAGGGGGGCCACGCCTTTTTTAAAAAAGTAATACTTTTTAAGTATTTTAATAAAAAAAAGTTAGTAAAGAAACTCTAAAATGTATAAATTTGAAAAAAAAAAAAATATCCTGATATTTAAAATTTTAAGATATTTAATTACAATTATTAAATATGTGAAACATTATGTGAGTTTTAATTTTATCAAATTTGTCATGTAGTTATTATTAGACATTTTATCATCTTAAACATCATAACATTGTAATTTTATCTTTTTCTTATAAGTATTTAAATTTAATAAATAAGCAAATATTGGATTTCAAAGTTTTAATACATAATTTAAGAGTTTAAGTTCAACTCAAAAATTTATTTAAAATAAAAGAAAATAGACCTACAAAATGTTTTTGTTTTATTTTATTCATTTAAAAATCATATAAAATAATCATTTTTAAAAAGAAAATAGTAAGAACAGTTTAAAAATTTTTCACCAACCCTAAAATTTCTAGATCCAAACTTTGTTCGCCCCTCATTCGTTCTCTTTATAATAGAGAGTCATGTTTCGTTGTTAATTAAAGTTTTCTTTATTAAGTCTCTTTTGTCTTTTTTTTTTTTTTAATTTTGTATTGTACTTTTTAATTTTTTAAGAAATAAACCATTTTAATTTCTTGTGGATTAAGAAACAATTCTAATTTCTTACTCTTGAAAATATTCATCAAATATATATAATTATAAATTGACAATCATACTAACGTTATAAATGAAATAATTTGATTTTATAATGTTTTATTTTACATTAATAAACAATTTTATTTCATTGTTATTAAATTATAAATAAAATTTTGTAACAATTTTATTTCATGACACTATAAACTTAAATTATTTTGTTGTTAGTTAAATTTTTTTCTATTAATTCCTATAACATGAACAAAAGAAATAATTTACAATTTCATAATATCATATTTAATGTTGAGACATCTCTTATATTACATATATATATATATGTTACAATTATGTTATGTTTACATGTGATAAAAAAAAAATGGCCCTTCCTTAAATTTTAGTCAACTTTGACCCTTTATTCAACAAGTTCTGCCATATTATGGTGGAAGCTTAATTTAATAAACAATCTAATAACATTTGTTTTTTTTCCTATTTCATTTATTGTCTTTAGATAGTTTCAAACTCATCTACTATTTTTCACTTTCATTTCAATTTAACCTAGTCTATTAACTTTTTAACAACAGTTTCTCTCCATTTAATCAAATTGATATTTAACTATATCTTTTATAAATTTTTACTCTTTTGAAATCAATTTTGAGATAAAACTAATTTTGTGAGAATAATAACTTCATTTTTATTATCTGAGAAACTATAACTTTTATTACATACTGCTTTAGTTTTTCTTTTTGACAATTATTTTTTATAACATAAACCACAATTATTGTCATGTTTTAATAGCTTTTAATCTGTTGTAGATTACTTTGCTAATTGAGACTATTTCGTTTTAATTTTAATTTAACTTTTCTGTTTTTTTTTGTTAAAACTAATGAAAATTTTGCACAGTAAATTATTTTGAAATATTTTATAAAGTTTATAAATTATTTAAAAAGATAACTAACTTTTTAGATTAAAATAAAATTAAACTAATAGTTAATAAATCAATAACTAAATTAAGCCTTATGGCGGATGTTAATAAACTCGTCATAGAATTGGACAGGAACAAGTAAAACAGACCAACTATAAGAAGGCGAAACTTCATGGTAATTCACATTGACATTATAGACAACTATAATTAAGAGCCGAAAAGTTCACGGAAGGGAGCCCAGAGAAGTTTAAAAAAATAATAATAAACGTTCATGTTTCTTGCATATCTTTACACGTACACCAGAGCCTCTATGGCAAAAAAAAATAATAATAATAAATTGAAGTAGTTTTTTGATTAATTATTGACATAGTCAATAACTAATAATTAATAATTAATAATTAAAATATAAATATTATTCAATTAAAATCAACAACTAATAACTTTTATCCAATCTCTAAACCAAAAACTGTTTACACTTCCAATTCTAAAGTCTTGGAGGAGGAAGGATGTTTAGTCTTTAGTGGACGTAGGGTAGAAATTGAATGCAGACAAGATAATGGTCAATCTTGACTTTGAATAACAGAAAAGCTAAGGTAGTTGCTAATGTAGAAATTTCATATTTGGCCATGAAACAACGCGTGTTTCTTCTCCTTCGTAGTCTTAGGAGACCCTTTTTCTCCCTCAGATTAAGAAATGGTAGCTTTGTGGACTTGCTAAATGGAAGATTGTTACGGTATTAAATTCCCAAAAAAATAAACAAGGCGTTTCCCAGCTTTTTCCATATCCCAACCACGAAATTTCCTTTACCCCAGTATACACGCTTTGGTCATAATATATAAAAACCCCTCTTGTCTCTTTTATGTCTGAGTAAACTTGAACCCCATATTCTTGATTACTGCGCAGCATAAATGGCTACAAAGCTTTCATCTCCATGCAACAGTACAGAGAGCTCGAGTTTCTCAGAGTCGGAGATGGATGTTGCCCGGCAGTTGATTCAGCTTTGCGGAGGAGTAGAAGTTAACGATGATGGCAGTGAAGGCATAAGCGAAAAACTACCGAAAAGAAAATTGCAGGTTGATGATCATGAAGATGATGTATCTTCTTGGAAAACAAGAAAGCGGTTTCGGTCTATTAATTATATCTACAGCTCAACCAAGAAAATAGCGGTTAATTAGTCTCTTGTTTCTTGTTTAATTAACCTCTAGGGTTTGGCCGCCAACTCACTGTGAATCCAAAGTACATAGATTTTGATCAGTGGAGTCTTTTGCAAAAATCAAGTCCAAAGGGACGGATATATGTCTTTGATTGTGTTCTAAACTGTCTTTGTTACAGTGAGGTTATATCTACAATTTTGTTGAAAGAGTTTTTCTGTAATGCCTACGGGCTTTCTTGAATGGAATTTGAGCTTATCAGTTCCTAAAAATAAACAAAAACAAGTGTATATTTTCTCACTTCCGTTTGAGTTAATTAATGTCATCGGCCTAATGAATAAATAAGGTGTTTCTTTTGTAAATTGTCTTTGATGTCATGTAAATTTGTAGCAACTGGGAAGAAGAGCTGCAACACGGTAGTGGCATCTTCGATGACCAAAAGGAGACTTCAAGAAAGACTACAGCTTAAGTTTCGCTTGGTATACTTGGTCTCAATACATTTCCATATTCTTTAATTATCTCCTAATCCAGTTTTCGTATCTGCTAGCATGGCTTCGAAATGGCCCTCAAAGAGATCACTTGGTTAAAAACATGAAATTCTAACTTAAGAATTAAGTGTTTTTTTTTTTTTTTTTGACAAAAGTAATGGTTAAGAAATTAGTGTGAGTTAATTGTTAGCAATTGATTCTCAGAACAGGTGAATATTCCACCCCCTCAAATGAGGCGCGCTACCATCATACCGCTTTTTGGTGGAGTTCACGATAGTGGTAGAGCTCGACGCTCCGATCACCTCACCCAAACACTTAAAGCTTTGGGTCAAATCATTGGACCACAAGTGCCGGTTCATATCTTAAGTTTAAAACTTAATTCAACTAGAGAGAGATTCAACAAAAAAGCCGAAAAAGGAAGAATAATATTTTTGTGTAACTCATTGTAAAATGTATTGAAGGATCAAAATGACAGTTTTTATTTCATCTTTGGTACGTACGTGATCCATATGGTTTTTTGTTGTACTTGCGTGTGATAATTGGTTTTTTGGGCTGGTACATACCATTTTAAACTGATGGTGGATGGTGGAAACGAACCATTGCTAACTTTGTTTTAGGGAGTGGGAGCGAGCCCTTTTAGAGAGTGGAAGCGAGCCCTTGCTAACTTAATTTAAGAGAGGGAAGGCATTCTATGGTTGACAAGTTAATCAGGGTGAGTTTTGGTAAAAATATTAAGAAATTTGCCCAAATTAAAAGGATGAAAGATTGCAAGGTAGTTCGTGGCCAAGTAGTTTCAGATTGCATCATAACCATAAATCATTGAACAAATGCAGGTTACCGATTCAATAAAACATGCTCTTTATACCTTTGGGAAACGTTTGCCAGGATGATACGTAAATGGTGAAGCTATTTCCAAATGTGCAAGACAAATTTGAAACAAAATAACAATCAGAGAAGCTCCTAGATATTGGTTCCATTCAAAGCATTTGCTTCCTTCAACTAGCAAACCCAAAGGATTTGATTCAGTTTTGCAGGCAAGACGAAGAAGCTCCAAAACTTTGATTAGTGTTCAAGGTGGAACACATATTCTGTCAAGCGCTGTAGTTTGCTGGGATCAAGTTTCCGTTCCATCACAACAGGCGTCTTCTTCACAGTCAGCATTTGAGAAGCAGGATCCAGAGCCCAACCTTGCCGCAAGACATCTGCATGTAACAACAAAAACCATGGATACAGATAAGCTATTCAGTCACTAAGGTCTTAAACATGCACGGTTCTGTTCAAGTACTGACTGTAAGCTAGTACAAAAGCAAGCCAAAAAGAACCGCCAAAGTATATGTCACAGCAATCATGTACAATTTTTTCTTGTTTCCAGAAAGATAAAAAGAATGCAGTATACAAATGCACTACACGAATTACATTACAAGACAGGAACTCCAAATCTATAAAGACTAAACAAATAAACAAGTGGGTATAAATTGAGTCATTCATATAATGAGCATTCTCCTAAGTGGGCCCAGCCGTTGTAATTGATGGCTATAAAAGGATCTTTCAAAATAGTCCCTTTATCTTAAAGAGGATCACAATAAAATTCATACTAAATTGGATTGTGAATGTTCTAATGCTTGGTTTTGCATAGGTTTTGAAAGCAAGAGGATATATTGGCATCCATTTGCACCAAGGATAGTAATATTTCTACCAATATTCTAAATTCATCCATACCCATAATGTCAAACCATCCTCATCAAAAATAAAAATAAAAATAGTAATAGTAATAGTAATAATAATAATAATAATAATAATAATAATAATAATAATCTCAACTCATCAGGAAAATATAATAATAAAAGAAATAATGCATAAAAAAAAGGGAAAATAAATGCTTACAATTTGTCACATCATCCTCATTCATCCCAAGAAATAGAGCTGTATCTTGGATGCTTATTGTTGCATAAGCAGATGCCAGCAGCTCAAACATCCTCTTACAGTAAAGCTCTGCAGACATTCAGCAAACAATCATCTAAAATGCTTAATGCTTAATGTCGTTAACAGGTCATATAATGGCAAAAGGACTGAAAGGCAACAGCCTTCATATTTGAAGTAGCAGAGAGAACTGACAAATAAGAAGACATTGTTATATGGTAACAAATAAGCAAACTTCAATTTTACTTAAAACAGCAAATAAGAAAATGTACTAAACTTCTGAATAATAAATGTAACATTAGGAGAAACCAATTGGGGAGAGCTCCATGCCATACAATTTTTACTCACTGGTCCATATCTATTAGACTCAAATGGGGAGAGCAAATGTCAGAATGCTGTTTTCAGATTTATTAGAGCTATAGAGTAACTAAGTCTTTCTCTAATCCCTTTATGTATGGTTTGATTTTTCCAACATGGTTAAAGTGAAGGAATCAACTAAGAGCATATACATTCCTAATAGATTGCAATAAAAAAATAAAACCCAATAAGCCCCATTGTAAACATTATATATCCAGCGCTGAATTACATGCCAACCAAAAGTGACACATTTACAAAACCTTTACTTCTCTATGTTTCTCTAAAGGCTCACCAAATCTAAGCTCAATCAACTGACTTCAGAAAATGCTCAGTCACTTTTGGGTAGATATAACATTCAATTTGGCTATCTTCTCAAAAAATACATTTAATTTGACTAAACCTATGTATCAAATGAATGATATGACTATCCTGCATTGAAACATTGAGTAACACCTTAGCCAAACTATTCCCCTTAAGCAATGAAAGAAGGAATTTACATAGAAAGCATCCCACAAACTATGAGAGAGGAAGCTTGCCTGAAAATGCAGTTACGAGAAGCTTTGCTTCTTGACTCCAATCAAACCCATGAAGAGCCTCATGCACACCAGCATAGTCCCTCATCCACAACTTTTGACCAATTTTCCATGCTGCAACCGCCTCTGGTTGGCTCTCCTTGATGGCTGAAGGTATTGTCTTCCAAAGAAATCGTGCACTGTTACTGCAAGATCACCTCAAAAACTATAAAACCCAAAGCTAAACACCTATTTACGATATGCTAAGGAGATTTACTGCCAGTCCTCAATTCTAGAATCAAAAAAAAAAAAAAAAAAAAAAAAATCCAAAACCATAAAAATGCATAAAAAATCCATGCCTCTTATTTTGGTGTATTTCTCATAATGCTGCAACT